CCCATGCCCCCCACCCCCTCCCCCGCCTCGCCAAAGCAGTGTAAATTGTCAGAAGAAATTTAAGCAGCGTTTAAACAACTTCTCTTGAAAATCAGAACATCTTTCAAACCGAAATTATATTTAAATCTGGAAAACGAAGTGCCCTTTCCCTTTAGCTACGAAAAAATAAGGTTATGAGGAATAAAAGTGATGAATTAGCCACTGCGTTAAGCGATAATAAATCAGGCTTGGTGTGATTCGCGATCAATTCCAATTAGTCATGAATATGCTAAGTAAAGCACAGTACACTGTTTTAGACAGTTATTTCTTCATTAAGGATCACTCAGTGATTTCTTTCACAAATGCTCTAATCTGATTTCCTTTTGATTTCCATTAGAGACAGTGAATAATGACATTTAATTTAGCCCTGCACCATAAACCCAAAGATATTTGTTGTAATTGAATTACTGCCTGCTCCTCACTATGGTCTCATAACTTTCAATTATAACCCTGACAGCTGGGTGATATGAGTTTCCAGTACAACACTAAAAATAAAAGGTTAATAAGGACTAGCTACCATAGGAGCTTCAATTTATTTACAGCAAATTTCCACGCTAAATTGAAACTATATCCTTTAACAGCAAGGGACAAGAGGTTCAGATAGGAATTAGAAAACAATTCCGAAAGTATTAGGAAAAAAAAACAACAACAAACCTCTCCCTTTTCTGCCTTTTTTTTTTCTGCTTCCACTTATTGATGAATATTAACTCTCTGCTTATTTCCTAACTAATTGCTCATTTTTCCTCTTTTTTCTCTTTATACTTATTTTATGTATAGGGGTTTCTTAAATCCACACAAACCTCTTTTATAAAATGATTAAATACATTTTATTTTTTTTTTTTAAATCTCTGTCATAATCTTGTCCTGATACTTTTGGTTTGGCGTTTTCTAATTTTTTTTTTTTTGGGAGGGGTGCATGTGCTGTTTTAAGATCTGTTAGCACTTGAAGCACCAATTTTCCTGTAACTATGAACATCCTGTTAAGGTGCTCCTCAGTAATAAAGTACTTGAAAGAAAGAGTGCAGAATTCAATTACAAGTAATTTATTTTTATAGAAACAGTACATCAAGGCCTTGGAAAGATATTACAGAGCCCAAGTAAGAAGATCTGGGAAGATGACATAAGAGTTGATGTCCCCTTCAGCAAAAGTTTAATCTTTTCATTAATTTATATGGTGTGGTTAGATCAATCTTCCAGGAGAAAGTAGGCCAGCAGCACTCTCAACCCCTACAATATTCCCTGCAAGCTGCCATTCCTAAGTCATATGCCCAGCACCATCCCTTGCCCTGCTTGGTTTGTACAGAGAGTCACAGGAGCTGAGGGGAGAATAAAACCTTGAAAGAAAAAGGGGGGGAAAAAAAAAAATAAATCAAAAAAAAACCGAAAGCAACTTAGGTACTCCATTGATTTCAGGATTTGCCTCCAGGAGACAGTTGTTTAAAGTGAGGTAGTGGCTTGCTCAGGCAAATGCTGGCTGAGCAGTGTGCTGTCTGCTTGCTTTCCATGCTGAAAGAAGGGCTCAAACAGACCCCTCTCCCCACTCCAGCTCGGGGATGGAGTATTTCTTGCCACTGTGCCCCGGGGGTCAGGTCAAGGCGTGGAGGCCTCCATCTATGCCCACAGAGCCATACCCGTGCCAAAGTAGCCACCCGCACACTCCTATAGGCAGATATACATGTACATCTCTTATCTCCAGGGTGTGAAAGAGTTCTGTCCAGTGCAGGGGTTGCCTTGGTGACTTTTTCCTCTTGAGTTTTAGTTAGGTTTGTGTCTCTTAGGCCAGGCATAGTATTTTAATCCAAAAAGATATTTCCTTCGGGTTTCTCCAGCTCTGGGCCTGCTTATAGAGCCACAGGTTGATCTTATTTTTTCTAGGTAGATTTTTGTTAATTATTTCTATGTTGGGGTTTTTTTTGTTTGGTTGAGGGTTTTTGTTTCTTTTAATATGACATCTGTTTTGTGGAAGCATTCCCTAGTTGGCTTGGGGGGAGAGGGAGTATTTTTCCTCTACATCAAACTGAAAATACAATTTTAAAATAATCGATGTAGAGCCACCCAAACAGACAGCTCTGGTGGCCCCAGGACTACAGCAACCCGGATCTATTTTCAAGATTTCGAAGTCTAATTGGCATTTAGCTGTCTCTGAAGCGGGATGGGAGGGACGGGGGGAACCTCCACCAGATGGGGTGGCATGCATTCATACGCTTGCTGTGCGAATCAGAGCCGGCACCTTTCCCCCGGCTCTGGCTAATCCCGTCCCTCAGCACCCAAACTGTCTAGCCTTATTCAGGCGATTGTTTTCTGGCCTTTTTCTCTTTTTTTTTCCCCCATAATAGAAAAAGCGGGAAGAAAGTAAGGATTAAGGGAGTAAATGGCACGTTTGCAAAGGGAAAAATAAATTTAAAAAAAAAAAAAAAGAAAAGAAAACAACAAAAAAACCAAAGCAGTTGTTCAGTTATTAGAGACTTGTCAACACTATCACCACCCAACCACCCTACCCCACACACATACCAAAAAAAAAAAATTTTAAACCGCCTTCCTAGGAAATGCTAGACACGGGCAGATATTCCCAGAGCAGAATAACTGTTTGGCAGGACAGGTACAGCAGACTTGCAAACAGCTTTCCCATCACACGTGTCACCTCTGCCTTCACCTCCCCGCTCCGCATGAAACGGGGCACTGTGCTGGGATCCGCCGGCAGCTAGGGAGCGAGGTGAGCGCGCTTCCAGGAACAGAGCCTTTCTCTTACCTGAACCCTAGCTTCAGATAGTCCCAGCCTCTGGCTTAGTTCCTCCCTCATGAAGGCATCCGGATAGTGAGTCTCATCAAAAAGTCTTTCCAGCTCGTTCAGCTGCTCTAGTGTGAAATTGGTTCTGCTTCTCCTTTGTTTAAGCTTAGTCTGTCCGTCTTCATCTTCTGACTTCACATCTTCCCTCTTCTCTTTGCATTCGTAGATCCCTGCCGGGAGGGGGAAGAAGAAAACGACGCTGAGCCTCCCCTTGCACCTCTTCGAAATTCTCTCACACAGGGGTCTCCCTCCTCCCCTCTTCGTCCCCAAACTCAGCACAACTTGCGGGTGCAGCTGTCGGGGGGCAGGAGGTCCCCGGGCAGGCCCCGGAGGGGCGAGAGGGGCTGAGCTCCGCTCCAAGCTCCGCGCCGGGCAGGGGGCAGCTCGCCCGAGGGCCGGAGGAGGAAGGGAGCCGCGCTGCCTTGCCTGTCTGATGCCCTGTCAGAAAATCTATACAGATAAATATCATTTTATTTTCCTTCCAGGGCTAGGAGGAAGCCGTGCCGCCCGTCGGTACGGGCAGCTGAGGGAAGGGGCTGGCAGGAAAACCGCCGGCCCCCCGATACCTCCAGGCAGTGGCAGGAGGTGGGGGAAGGGGATTTCTCCGGCGACGTTTTCTCCCAAAGAGGGCTGTGCAAGAAGCTCCCTACCGCTATCATGCTGAAGCCACGATAATAGTTACTTGTCTGGTGAAAGAAACTTTTCCTGGGCATAAGACGGAGTCTGCCCGTCTCTCTCCTCCTTACCAACCTCTCTCCCCCAAAATACCTGCCAGCGGCTCGGAACCCCGGGGGCGGCGGTGCCCTGGGCCCGGTGCGGGACAGAGGGCTCCGGGGCCATGGGTCACTCCCAGCCCTCCGAAACAGCAGGAACCCTCCCAACCTTCCGGGATTCCAACAGGGCTCGTGGAGAGCTTGCGACCAGAGGCAGCCGCTGAGTATGCTTGTCCCGGTCAGAGGGGAGGCTGTGGGGGCAGCGGGTAAAACAGTTCCCCTTTTCTGTCTCGGGCAGGGAAATATCTTTTGCTTTGGCATATTATTTCCTACGTTTTTATTATTTATTCCTCCCCCCGCCCCCCTTTTCCTTAATGCTAGGAGGCCTAAGGCACTGTCCTTCTTTCAAACCCAGCTAAGGAAAAGAGGAACAGATGCTGGAGCGAGGGACAGCACTTTAGGCTGAACCGGTTCCCCGGGATCCCCTGCCTGCCTGGGGCGCCCCGCCGGGTGCGCATCCAGCGCGGGCACCGGCGGAGTCCCGGGACGAGCCTGTCCTCACTGCCTCCTTTGTCGTGCCTCACCTCCTGGGTGGTGTGGATGTGGGGAGAGTCGCATCTGCGGACGATCCCGAATTAATTCCCTTTTTCCTCACCAGGTACTGTATACATACATACGTATGTACACACACGCAGAAAAATGTGCACATGAACATTTATTAACCTATATACTTAGGGGCATCCCAAAATGCAAATTGTAAGCTGCAAATCGTAAGTTAATTAAACGAAACAAAGCGTCCTGAACAGCATCAGGGCTTAAGTAAGGCCGGACTCAAGACGAAGGATTCGTTTCACTCCCAAAATTAAAACTGTCCCTGGCCCTGAACATTCCCCCGGGCTCCGGGCTGGTACTGGCTGCATAAAACTTTGGGAAGGGTCTGGCCTCCGGATGGAGATATTCGCTGGTTGGTTTTAAAGGCTTTTTGTTCTCATTTCTCCTGTAAAGGGAATCCCTATGAAAAGACGAGGGTGCTAACCCAGCAAATGTCTAGGGAAAATCAGGCGCGTTCAAAAGCTGTCTCTTTTCCGAGGCTACAGCATGTCCGTGATAGGTATAAAATATTAACTAGCATATCGGTGGGACCGAAATCACACGCCCGAATCAGTTGAAATTAGACTGAAACCTGGCATGAATTTAAACTGTCACAAGCATCTCAGCTCTTTCCAACTCCTCCCTTCCATCCCCACCCCCAGCCCCTCTCCGTAGATTAGATTAGCTAAACATACAAGCCTGAATTTCGATTCACGAGGAAAGGGGAGAATAGTCGAGGGGGGTTTTTCGTTCCTTCTCATTCTATTTTTAATTTCTGAAGCATGCCCTGCTTTTTTTTTTGCTTTTTTTTTTCTTTTTTTTTTTTAAATCATCTCCTGCGCAAATGATTCCCTTAAACTGAATCTTGTTTTTCAATCTCTAGACCAGAGAAGGAAAATAAGCAGAGCTGAGTGGTACTGGCTTTTGCAGAAATATGGATACCCTAATACGTGATTATACCCCGTTCTTCTGTTTGGGAAGCAGGTAGAAAGGGGAGGATATTAAATAAAAGTTTGGGCTGTAAATTAAATCTCCCAGTGTTATATTAAACAAGATCAAACAGTAGGAAACAGCTGAAAGGCTGGTTGTTGTTCCCCAACCTATTAACCGGTTTTTATTACCCCAAGCTAGCCAGTAGCTCCCCAGGCAGGTCCACCTGTCTAACTTGCCTAGAGACACTTTCTCAACTTTCTAATCCCCCCGTCCTTTTAATTCTCTCCTTCCCCTGTGAGCCTGTGCCGGATTTTTAGTTGTCTTGCTTTAAAAAATACGGGATTTTTAAATTGTCGTTGCTGTTGTTGCTGCTTAAAGGAAGGATGGCGTTTTGCCCCTGGGTCGGCAGGGTGCCGTGCTGCCCTGGCCCAGGTGAGAGGACTGGCAGGGACCGAGGGACCGGGCCGGCCGGTGCCTCTGGCCGCAGCGATGCTCTGTCTCACCGGGTCCGGGCAGCTGCCCCACAGCCAGGCTCCTCTCCTGCTTCTCGTCCCCGCCGGTCGGAGCCCCTGAGTAGGACAGGCTGACCGACCCAAGACAAAATGCCCAGAAAGAGCCCTCTCCACGTCCCGCTTTGTCCCAGAATAAGCAGCAGCAGCATCCTGACGGCCCGGAAGCAGGAAGAACAGGTCTCCTAAGGCATTAAAACTCCCCGGACAAGGTTTCCTCGTACAAAAATACACAGCTAGACAAAAACGTCTGACGTGCTGCGCTGCCCCCTTCCCCCAGGCGAGAGAACGCCTAACGCACCGAATCGATTTCGGATGTGAACGGGGGCTGGCGGGGGGGCAGGACCGAAGTTGGGACTTATTTTTCACGGCTACGCTCACGTTTTGCATGCAGGAGTACGTGTTCCCAAGGCTGTGTCCCCGCCGCCGAGGGAGGGAGGTGACCGCAGCAGGGAAGCAGGATGCGGGAGGCGATCCCGCTGGCCCCGCCGGGGCCCGGAGCGGGGCCGCGGTGCCCAAGCGGACCAGCTCTCTCTCAGCGGAGAGCCAGGGGCGGCCGGGGAGGGGAGCGGGGCTGCCGGCGAGAAGCGCGGGGCGGAGGGCTCCCAGCCCTGCTCTTACCTTCCGCTGTCCTGCCCGTGTTGAACTCCTTCAGTTTGTCCTTGTCGCTCTCTACGTGGTCTTTGAAAAGATGCACCGGGCAATGGTTGCTGCTCTCGGTCATGTCCTGCAGGTTAGAATCAGAGTTTCCAAGCTCCCTAGAGCGAGCCAACCCACTCTCCAAAACTTCCCTGTACGTGATCGTCTCCTTCTTGTTGCCGCTGCCACTGCCGCTGCTGCTCTCTTTGCTTTTCTGGTCAAAAGATTTGGATACAAAAGCCGTAAGTTCTTCCATGGCTGCCCGGTGATCTTATCCACAGAGATCCACTTGTTTTCAGTCGGAGATGTGGCCGTCCTCCACACGCTGTTTTTGCACGTAGAAGATGGGCTGTATAGGGTTAGATCACTCCTGCTGTTATTTATGCCTTTCAATTTGAGATCACACTATTTATACATGGCTACCTCAGCCCAACCCCCAGCTCTCCCTGTCTCCAGCAATTACTGACTGCTCCATAGTCGCAGGCGGACTCCGAGCAGCTATCTCCCCCACCTCAGTCCAGCAATTGGCTTTCTTTTCATTTCATCACTCTTTGGCATCTTTGCACCTTGATTTAGGGAGGCAAAGAGGCAACAGTGAAAAAGAGGGGGGTAGAGGGAGAGGGAGAGAGAGAGAGAGAGGAAGAGGGAGAGAGAGAGAGAGAGAGGGGAATAAAAGAGAGGGAGGGGGAAAGAGGAAAACATGAAAATAGGTATCTACATTCTGTAAATGGGTTGCAGAAATGCGAGTCGAGGAAGAATTAATTGATTTTAAGGACATCCTGTGCGTGGCAACACTGTGAGTAAAAACGGACCCACAGCTAACCAAATAACTGAGCTCCTGCAATTAAATGTATCGCTGTCAAGAGGAAAGGAAAATGAGTGTTCAATAAAAAAGGTAATGAATAAAAAGCCGGAGATGTGCATTTGTTGTAATCATTGGAAATTCTACCTGATTTTCTATTTAGCTAATTTCTCTTAATTAAACGGTCAAAATAATCGGCAGAACAAAAATGCTGTTTTAAAAGTGTTGCCTGTTCTGGCTGGCGGTGGGTGGGTGGGTGCACGGAGGGGGACGTGTGCTGCAGCTAAACAAGTTGCGAGGTGCCTCGGAGATCCGTGTCGGTGCGCTCGGAGGATTTGGAGTGGGTTGTTTGGCTGGGGGGTATCCATGGTAAGGAGTCTCTCCAGATGCGTGTGAACATTGCAGGATCTTGTCTCCTTGTTTATTGTTATTATGTTGTCTGAAGGTACTGCAGGGGGAAATGAAAATCTAAAATGTTTCTGTGGATATCGAGCTATCCTGCTGCATGCAGCAGAGGGGTAGCTTGTTAACACGGGAGTGTGTACACGACAAATAGAGCACTAAACCTTTTTTTTTTTTTTTTTTTTTTTTTTAATCCTGCTGGATTTAACATAGAAGTGGCAATAATTTCCCCGTCTTGTTCTTGGTAGGCTGCAGTTATTTTTGTTGTACTCCTGGAATAATTATTATTCTGTGCGCTTGAATAGCTGCCTGAAATTCGTCTCCAGATAACAGCGCCGGCATTTCCAGCGCCTCTCCGCACCGTTTGATCCCCACGCGGAGTCGACTTCCCATCTATTTATTTCTGTCTCTTCTCCTCGGGCTTTAACGCGAAGGGTTATTCGGTGTTTGGAGGAATTTTGTCTTCTGGTCGTTTGGCTTTTTACGTCCTTCTCGTTCCCTCGCCTCGAGTTTGAGATAATCAGAGCCCATCATCACGCCACCCTCTGCTCTGAATCGCAACCAAAGCAAGCTCCTTGTTGGAGCAAGGGGCCATTGTTTCTTTTCCGGGGGAGTGTGGGACTGTTGTGAAAATTAGCAGAACATTAAAACACTAAAAATTCGTTTAATTAATCCAAAGGTGCCCCCAGCACCAGAGTAAACGCTTCCACAGGAGGAGGGGAAAAAAATAATAATCGAGGAAGCAATTAATAAAGGGCTTAAAAAAAAAAAAATCAATCTCCCCCTGCGCGAATTTAAAATGATTATCTGGGGGACAAGGATTGATCATTTGATCTCGGCACTGCGGATATCCCTGACATTTATTATATTGTCGTGTCTCGGTGGCATCCTTCCTCCAGAGTTCGTTTAACAAGTGAGGGAGCGGAGGAAGCCTTACAACTTAACAAACAGGTCTTGTCATCGCAAACGCCAATCAAATCCGAGGCTCTAATGTATATCACACGGCACCACATAAATAATAAAGGCAAACGATAGAAGGGGAAGTAACGTATGGCTGAGGAAAGATCCCGGCACGACACGCTGCTTGTGCCTCTCTCATGCAGTTTGCGCGTGGAAGAGCTCGTAGAGGATGGCTGTGCAGGCTGGTGCGAGGGTGTCAAGGACACGCGGGGACACCGGCCCTCATTCCCCCGAGGGAAAGGCTCCCTACCGGGGCTGGGCCCCCGCCCCAGTTTCCCCGCGGAAACTTTCCCCATCCCCCGACTCGAACGGCACGGATCCCCACCGTGCCCAGTCTCCCTGTGCCTCCCTCGCAGCGAGCGGCAATCAAGGATAAACATTTACTGACTCCGCGTCCCCAGCGCCGGAGAGGCACGGTGCGCGTCGGCTTCCCCGAGCTGCCGGAGTTTGCAGCAAGTCCGCCGGATCCCCTCTTTGCTCCCTCTCCTCCCCGCAGCTCCCCCCTGCGCCCAGCCCCACGCCTGCAGCCCCCGCC